GCCAGCGCTGCTGAGGGAAACGTGGCCCAGAGTCCTTCCCACACAAGGCCTCCTGGGGAGGCTTTTTTTGCTCTGTTTAATAATAACTTTTTTAAAGACAGAATGAAATATCCACCCATATTTGAAATGTCTGAGGTCCCAGGCAAATACCTCAAAGACACACAAACAATAAGGAATAAATCACACTTCAGACATGAAACTGTGACTCTGGCCAAGGCAAACAAACGTGCTAAGGGCCCCCCCAGCCCCTGAAGGTCAATCAACTGTCAGGGCCAGGGCAGGAAAAAGCAGAGGGAATCCCGTACTTGGCATCCATGGAAAATCCCATCCTGGCCCAGACTGCACCCTGAGGAGCAGTGGTGGGTGTCAGGAGACATTCATCTCCAGAATGCCAGGAGGGGCCCTCTGTCCTCGAGGCCCCAGATATCTAGGGCACACAGAGCTACAATCGAGGCCTCCAGATGGCCAGGCCAGACCTCCACCGGACCGCCTGGGTCACTGCTGACAAAAAATCCAGAAACTTGTGGTGCTAACGAAAGGTTGGCTCTCAGGGGCAAGAATTCAAAGGGTCCTCAGTAGCTGCCCAGGCCAAGCCAGACTCCACCCACAGCCTGCTTCTCAGGGGGTCGACAGGTCATCTCCCCCCCCACTGACGGGGTTAGAGTTAGAGTGCCCCCTCTGGGACAGCTGCCATGGTAAAGCTCTCAAGGTCTTTCTGACTTCGAGCATAAATCAGCTTTTTCACGACCTGCCCCTAGAGGAGGCACCAAGGCAGGCAGCTGGGTCCGGCCCCATCTGACCTGAGTTCAAATCCCTTCATGCTAGGGATATGGAGGCTGGGCACCCCATTCCTCACAACCTGTGGGACTTTGAGCAAATGGCATGACCTGTCTATGTCTCAAGGTCCTCATATGCAAAACCAGCGCCTGGGATGAGATGCCTAAGGGCCCGGCAGCTTCCAGATCCAGGAACCTCGTGACCCAAAATGCTGTGGCTTCTGCCCTGATAGGCCATCGTGAGCCAGGCTGCCCTTCCGGCCCCAGGACAGTCCTTCAGAATTTAAATTCTCCCTCCCAACCCCAGTCATCCCCAGGTCCTGCTGAAGCAGACCACTGACCCCCTCCCCTCATCTCAGCCTCCCCTCTATGGACGGGCACCCACTGGTCCTCTCAAAGCTGGTCTGTGCAGACCTGGGTGCCTGGTATCTCCTGAATCAAACTGGGAGCTCCTCATGGTCAAGGACAAGAGTTGGCTTTCGCATTTCCTTGTTTCCCCAGCTCTTAGCCAGTGCCCAGCATTTAGGGTTAGGCAGTAGGTGCTTAATAAATGCTTCCTGAGTGACTGACTGGTTAGCAGCTATCCAGGTGTAGAACAAAGAGAAAGCATGAGGTGGAAGGAAGAGAGACAGGCAAGGCCCGTCACGGACCCACCGAAGACTCGGGGAACATCAGTGCCCCAGGGGGAACAAGGCCAAAAAAATTCTTTCCATCATCAAGTCCTGCCTCAGCACATTCACTCCTGAGAACATCTCTGTTCACTAAGAAAGCAGACAGGGAGAGGTCAGGGCAACGGCATCATCCTGGGGGAGATGACAAAAGTCTCGCTGCCTTCTGTATTCAGGGGAGAGGAGAAAGGAAGGGAGGGGGAGGGGGGATGGAGAAAGAAGGAAGGAAGGAAACACGGATTTGCTTAGCGCCTACTACGCACCAACTATTGTGCTAGATACTTTACAAATACCTCATTTGTTCCTCATAACAGCCAAAGTATGTAGACACCGTCATTATCCCCATTTTAAGGTTGAGGAAACTGAGGCTGACCTAGATGAAATGTCTTGCCCAGGGTCACACTGCCTGACTCCAGGCCCAGTTCTCTCCATGGCATCCCCTAGTTAAAGGAAGCAGAGTGACGGGAAAAGGCTTGCAGCCTAGGTGTCATCCTGGATTCCTCACTCTCTCCAGCCCCCTATATCCAGTGGTCGACTTCACCTCCGCAGCACCTCTGGTCGACTTCAGCTCCGCGGCACCTCTGGTCACCTCCGCGGCACCTCTGGTCGACTTCACCTCCGCGGCACCTCTG